GAACGATGAAAGCTTATTATTTCTCAAGCGAGGTCGGGATGGCGACCAAAAAACCATAATTCACGTCTTTCTGTATCCCTTGAAACCCAGCGTTATAACTTTATCTACCCATTAATAGTTCACATGTCAGTAGCGTCCTCACATGTTTTACGTCTGTAATATTGATTTTGAATATTTAAACTAATCCGAAATTAATGCAAATGATATTTGTAATGATACTCGTATCTGTGCTAATATCAACAATGTAGCTAGCCACGTGGAAAATAAACGTTTCAAATAGGCTGCAACTACTAAATAATCTAACAATACATATAAAATATTTTTTTTAAATATAGTGAAAACATTGCAAAACAATGGCTGAATATGCTGCTGATAATACTGAAAACCATTACGATTAAAATGTTTTATTGATACTATCGAATATTTTAAGATATCATTTGGTAATTTTAGTTTACCAGTGGTTGTGATAATAACGTGCTTAAATCATGAAATCTTTATTATAACATTTGAACAAATATAAAATAATATACATCTGTACGTGTATAAACTATATTCTTGTCGCTGTGAAAGATTCAATCTATAAATATTATATAAAAGACACAAGTAAACAACACCTTTAAAATACAAATTGAAATTAGATACAGTAGAGCCAAACAATGAATTAAACTGTATCATACAGCTGTTTCGTCCTTCTTGGACTCGGCATTGATGCCAAGGGCCTATATTTTGAAGCCCATGAGGCGACTAAGAAAAATCCAAATTGATCAAAGAGTCCAAATCTAGACGTGAAGGTGCAGCAGCACTTGTAATGAACTCGTTAAAACGTCATTATGAGATTTTCTAAACATATTCATGTATAAAATCTGGAGTAAGAGGTTTGCAAGTACAAATATGTAAATTTCATGGACTAGTTATCGGATATATTTGTGAGTATCTAAATGATAATATTTATATATACATGTATATTTCATCTGAGCTTGACATTTCTCGCAGTATTAAAAACAGAATGATAGTGTCTGAACTTTATTGTAAGTTAGTACCGGTAAAGTAACCATAAAAAGAATTAACATCATGCTACAGAAAGCAACATTTTTACATTAACATGTAAATTTCACCATTCTTGATCTTTACTTGTCCTCTAAAAGTTGGGATTTTCCCCTTTCATTTCTGTATTTGCTCTTAATTATTGAAAATTCCTCTCCATATATCTCAATAAGAATAATAATCGATAAACTATCGAATTCAAGATGGTTGCCTGTTAATCACTTTTTTTTTCAATCAGTCCCAGATTTAAAACAGCAAAACTGAGGGCAAAGGGGAACTTATATATGAAATTTGAGATCCATCTAATCCTCAAGAAAAAGCAACAACAAAGTCTCATGATCAATCCAAAATGACCGCTTGTCAGCCTGTTTGTTTGCCTGATCAATCCCAAAATCAAAAAGGGCACAACTAGTCGTTAAGGTGAACCTACATGTATTTGAGAAAGATCCATCCTAATCTTTCCGAGAAATAGCGATAACTTTCATAATAAAAATGCAAGATGGCCGCATGTCAGCCATTTGTCTTTTCCCCAAAACTGACATTGCACATCTAGGCACTGAGGGAAACATATATAAATGTAAATGTATTTCGGAATGGCCTACCTACTCAAGCAATATTAATAAATAACTAAATAAACAGCAATAATAATCTCTCGTAGACAAAATTAAAGACGGCGGACTATCATCAGCCCGCCATCTTGATTTTCTGATCAATCCAAAAATTGAAAAACTCATCTGCAGAGAGCGAGATAGCCATCAGACACTAAAAGGAGACCTTGTCTCAAAATGACCGTGGTTGTTAACGACGCGGGAAACACAGCAAAACAAAACAAATGAGATGCTGTGCCCTTTTTTCATTAGAACCTGTGGCTTTTAAACTTTTATAGTGTGAACCCGCTTCCATCTTTATGCTGTAGACGGTACATGCATCAGTCAAAATGTAAACTTTGATTATTATTATTTTAATATCGCAGAGCTATGGACAATTTTCTGTTGTTCATCAGTACCATGCCTTGACCTTTGTAAGGACATAACAAATCATAAATGTGACTCATCTTCATCTAGTGGTTAACAATCATGCTAAAGTCCTTCTTTCTATTATGACTGCTTACAAAGTAATGAAGAGAACGTGAAAGTATTTCGGACGGACGAGCGATGACTTTGGGACATCCTTCACTGTGACGCGGACCTAATCAGACCATGTGTTCCCGAAAGTTAGCGTCATATAAATCTGGTCATTTCAACTTCGGAATGCCACGTTCCCAGAAACAACAACAATGAAACTACCAGCCATACTCTTGCCACAAAAGGAAATAAAAAATATCCCTATATCCTTATGACGTCCATATAAATTCTCCATAACGTTTTTATTTTTCGTTTCATGACAACGCCTTATTGAATCAGTGATATTCTCTTCTTTTATCATGAAATTATGGACTGTTATTAGGATTTCAACCAAGCCTTTCTGGCCCTTTCTACAGTAATATTAATTTCCTCTCATTCTTAATCGAGTTCTAGTATCGTTTTCTCTTTATCACCCTTCATTCTTTCATGCCGACTATGCATGTTCTCGACAGGTTGCAAGACCGCCCAGAACGTTCGTCTGTTCAAAAAAGGATCGGACAAACTCGAAACACAGGGTTTCAAAAGACGCAGGTTGATGAGAATTATGAGTAAGTTTTACGGTCGTCATAGGGATCTCATAGAGAAATGTTCTATTTCTTTCTGCGACATGAAGATGAACATATAAGTTTTCATATTGCTTCCATTGTTTCTCATTTGAGAACGTAACATTACCTTCTTGGATTAACCGCGATTTACATGGCGGGTGTCGTCGATTAAGCAGAAGACGCTTACTATTCCGAACACCTGGACTTATTCTCCTTGTACTTTTTCAGGATTAAATCTCTCTTCTCTTCATATTTTTCACTGTTTCTTTTAAAATTTGAGTTTGGAATATAATTATATTGACATGTTAGTATTTCCTTCCTTGTGTTTTTCCCCAAACACGATTCCGAGTCTTTTGAACCCAAAATGATAATTAATAGTATACATCGGTATTGTACCATTAACATAACCGATTCTGTGTTGTACCTTTCGTACCACGCCCCCTTTTTTCGTGAACTGAAATAATGAAACTGACTCATGTAATATAACTGATGTCAACGTCTTGAAGCAAGGAAAAAGCACATTTTCTAGTACAATTGTTACATTCTAGAAGCAAAAAACGAACATTAATACTATAGAAATAAAACAAGTAAACCATTGATCGATTTAAACCATGTTGATAAAAAAGTAATTCACCCCATTATGAAATCAACTTGACAAGTTTACACGTGTATATCAGTTTTGCAATAGACATGTATTTGAATATCTTAAAACTTTATAACACTTTTAAGTAATTTGGTTTATATTTTCCGGTATTTGTTCATTTGAAGTTTCTACTTAATCTACGAACACTAATCAGCTTACGAGGCTTCTGCTTTCCTTTCTACGACCGACAAACGACATATGAAATATTTCAGCATTGAAATGCTTACAACTGACATCAACTAGTTCAATTCTTAATTTTTTTCGTTATTAATATTGCATTAAGGCATATTCTTATGCAATATTCGTCTTTTGCCGTTGGCAGTTCAGGAGCTGGTAACACGCTTACAAGGTTATATTGTATCAACGCTATAGAACAGTAAATGTATGGCTGTGAATTGCTCTAAAGGCATACTTATGATAAATTGGAATCACTGAAACGATTAAGTTTCAGGCCGACAATGTTTTTGTGCACCAGGATACAAACTTTTAATGCATATCATCCTGAACATCACCTGCTTCAGAAAGGCCCATTTTTTAATTGTACACGCGAACTTTGTAAATTTTCCTGTTGTAAACTACCCGTAATTAGACATTCTTGCTTACGTATTATATGTTACGGCTAACTCAGTATTCAAGACATTTACTGGACGGTCTTAATGAATTCTACATCAATCATTGTATGAAACATAAACACCTATATTTTTTATTCAGTATATACATTCACGTCTGCCTTTTGTACAATTCTTTGACGGTTGGTCGACTTCAACTCCGAGGTCTGTTATCGTCATGCCAGCTACAATTTTCCTATTAAAAATGTATCTATTTAGCAGACGTATGTCATCAGGTGTTTTAAAGTCATCCAAATTTGCAAACCTCATTAAGTTTATTATAAGAGATACAGATTGTAATTGCACATATCTACACTTTCTCGTGCCAATCTGAATGTTACACTGTCCCTTTCTGGACGACAATAATTTGGGTACTTTACAATCAGCAATTTTTAGCAAGTATTTTGCTATCTGTTGTATCAGAAATGTGTAATGAAAGGGTCAATTTACTTAGTCTTTAGTGCAATTCCTTGTTTTCAATAACGCATTTTTCGTGAAAGCTGTACAGAACGGTTACTGGCGAGGAAAGACCTGTGTGATTCAATCTCTGACTGATTGACACGTATCTCTACATCATTATTACATTTGGTGTTACATTTGACCTAATAAGTATAGATACTATTGTCAGCACTCCCTCCGTTTTGACAGCTTTCTCTTTTCTTTCGTCTGCAAAGTGGATTGGTTCACTTGTGTTTAAAGGATTGCTTACTCGACTGAACTACCAATACAAATCTCAGCCTTTTAGACATTTCGTTAACTATTGCAGTTTTCTTTCTTTTTCCCTCTTTCTTATTTTTTTTCCATTTCAGCTTTCAATAACCAATATGTAGAAACGAATGGAAGCATTTCCCTACTTTTCCGATACAATTTCTCTCGTGTTTTGGTTCGTTGGTCCTTTTTAATATACCTAGGTAGCGAATAGCATCACTTTCTTTCTTTCGCTTCAATTTTCACTTCCTACCACTTAGGAGGGGTCATCCATCTAACAGACCCCCAGCAGTCAGTATAATTAATAGAAATAAAATAGGAGACAGTGTTATATTCTTACTACAATTTGCAGTATAAATTTTATTCACACTCCTTTCTAAGCACCCTTACAAGTACATACAAAAGCCACCGCACAACATAAAATCTTCCACGATTTTCAACAATGCAACACTCCAGTTTCATTCGGCGTGTCCTTTTACATCCCTTCAAAACACTTCCAAAGCATAAGCACTTCCCTTTTCAACACACCATATCAAATCACTTACATGTTGTTTCTTCCAAAAAATGTTCGTTTTTGTACTCCACACCTCTTCCAAAGTCTTTCACCTACTTGCGGCCCTTAGTTGTTCAGTCCACCACACATACTACCTGATAAAATTACTGGTCTCCCTCCTTCAGGTCAGAGTATCTGCATTCCTCATTAGTCCATGATTTGTCCAAGCTGGGCTTGTAAATGTTTGAAGTGAATAAGCTGACATCAACACAGATAACCAGAAAGAAAAACGTATATGCAAAGATATTGTAACGTGGCATAGTGTGTTTGGTAAAATGATGATACAGTCACCCTAATGCCTATCATTTCAACTACTTCCTTATATGTTCATACACCAGACCCACATGCTAACTACTATAGGCTAGTGTGCCATCCATTTCTCATAGACAACGTGACTTTCTCTTGTTAAGAAGATTTCAATAGACTTCTTATGGCTTTTGAATGTAAGTTATCTGGATTACACAGCATATCTAAAAACAAACTAAATATGACAATTATAATTCATTGCACCTGAATTTCTTTGCAATAATTCAATTAAATTTTTCCCATGTAATACATTAAATATTTGATATACGTCTGAATTTCTCAATTTCATTGACTTTATAAAAAGTTTATTTTTCAGAATTTGTAAGTTAATAAAACGGGTCTGAGTACACTTTGGAGAAGAAACAGTCTTTATACACTTATTTGAAGTAAATAGTATACTTTTCATATATCATATCTATTCTGAATACAGTTTACTTTGTGTGTTTCAACTAAAATTATACCAGAGATTTCTATCTGTCAGTCTCTGAAAATTATACCGGTAGTACTGATAGAGTTAATGCAACTGTTCTGATTACATTACATAACTCTGCTGCCTGGGTGTCTGATTTAGAAAGGTTAAAGTACAAGGACACTAGCTTCTACTAAGCATATATGTAAGCTAAGATTAAAATAGTTCTGGTATGCAAAAAAATCTGACTTGTCTGAAAAAAGATGTACATTTTTTTTCTATTTAAATTTTAAACATACTGTTATATTAAATAAGGCAACAAACATAAATTGATTTCTCATTGATTATGTCATAATAATTTACATTATTTCTTTTTATGATGTAATATTCTTACTATCACTAAAATTGAAGAAATTTCATCCAAAGCATTATCTTTTAATTTTGATGAAAGATCTCAAATTTTTAAAAACTAAACTTTGATTTATCATGTTTAATTACATATTTTTCATTAAATCATAGCATACATTTTTGTATGTTTATCGTGATTTTTGAAGCCTATTAAGAAACAAAATAAACAAAAATTTTAATTTAAATTTGATTATTATTCCATTTTTGTGACTAAACAAAATTGTTTCATTTACCTTATATCAAAGGTATATGCCATCAGCTCACAGATACAGAATTTTCTTTTTGTGATTTATTAGCAGATTTGATCATGATTTTAAGATATTCAATATAACTGTACACAAAAACATCATAAACTGGAAATCAGTTTTTGGCGCAGCATCATTTCAACAAAGTAACATAAAGTATGTCCTTAATCTATGGTTAAAAGTATTACATTTACAGAATTCAAATGACAAGACATCCAGTGTTGTAATTTGCATGTTGTCAGTATGATGTTAAATCCTGTTTATCTGCTAACTAATGGCAAAAAAATTTATTTATGGTACCTTGGTATACAACCATTTACATCAAGTCAAATTGATCTGTTTATTCCTCTAATTAAAACATATAACCTTTCTGATGTGTACGAGAAATGGAAGGAACAATGGCCAGACTCTAATTAATTCCACCCACTCCGTTGTCCTTGAGTCTGTCCCCCGCCCCAGTTTGCATAACCACCAGTAGTATTGTTTGCCTCATTGGAACCCCAGCCTCCCCCAAAGAACCCGCTTCCACTGTTTGTTTGTCGGGTGCTATCAAAGCCCTGATTGGTAGCTTGTGTGTAGTTATCTCCCACCTGTTGCTGGGGAGGTGGCATTTGGCCTTGACTTAAGACTGCTTGTGCTGCTGCTAACATGAGGTTCATACCAATGCTGTTGGCTAAATTTGGGTCAGGTGTTGGTTGATTTCCCCCAATAGTACTAATAGGTTTCCCCCCTGTGTTGCCCCAGTTAGCCTGATGGCCCTGATTCCAACCCTTTGGTACCCCACCTCCTCGGTTGTAATTTCCCTTTCCGTCAAATTTGTCCCCGCTATTTTTGGGTGCTGCTGTTGTGACATGAACACTTGTTGATTTTATTATGTGGTCTTCTCCGCATAAACTCCTTGCAATGGCTGGATCAGCAAAGGTGACAAAGGCAAATGCCCGAAATGGCTTTGGAATGAACACATCAATAACTTCACCGAATTTACTGAAGTAAGTGTGAAGGTCTTCAGCTGTGATATCTTCTGTACAACGAGCTACGAACACCTTTCTACTTACAAACTGTTGGGCCCCTTCCTGTAATATAAAACAAAGTGGGAATATACTACCAAATGCTCACATAATCAAATCAATAATATCTATAACTTGTATACAGTGGAACTTCTTTGAACTAACCATGCATGGGACATGAATATTTGCCCAGTTTATGGAGGATTTGGTTTGTAGAAGTGAAACAAGGTGACCAGACAGGACTTGGATATAATTCAACCAATTCAGTTCTGTATATTACATTAACTATTCAGCATTTACACTGAACGTGTTCAACTGAATGCAGAGAAAAAGCTTTATGGAGTAAAAATATTTCAGTAAAGTGAAAAAAAAAACCAGTGATACTTAAATGCCATATGTGGCCTAAGTTGAAAAGAAACCTGTACATTGCCCCACGATCTAGGAAGTAATGTAATGTTACATAGACAGACGTAGCTCTGGTCAGACGGTCAGCTTGTCCACAGGTGTTACCAACCGATACATATTTGATGCATTTGTATTTTTGTTGATCACTATAAAAACTTATCTTCTAAAACAACACTTGATTAATATTCCATTCTGTTTGTGTTGATTTACATACGAAACTATGGTTTTCTAACTCTGCATCAGTACTTATCTACATTTTATCTGTATTCATTTCTCATTTTGTTGAAATGATGGACCTGTTCATTCAGGTTTCAATTTGTCATTGAACTATATATTATAATCTCCCAATTTGGGTAGGCATTGTGAACAAAGCCCTCGTTACAGGTGTATGTGTGTGGAGGCGTAAAGCTCACAGCTGTCACCATAGGTATAGATATCAGTCTGCTGGTCCGATCATTCAGGTAAGGCCAGTTTTCAGAAGTGATTTTAGACTTCAATACAATCGTTTTGGACACAAAATCGGTTTGGTGTTTGGAACTCAGAGAGATTGCTATTTGGCAGATTTTATTACTATAATAGGGAGGATGTCATTCCGTACATCTCCATTTCGTTCAGGATCAAGAGGTGATTGGTGTAGAGAAGGATCAGGTTTTGGAAAGTTACACTGTATATAACATTACTGTAAACAGACTTAATTTGGTACAATCAAAATTTAGCCATAATCATTTTTTTGGCAATGATGAATTTGCTTATTAACAATAATTACCATAAAAAACACACAGAGAAACTTATCTTGAGCAATCATGTTGAAGTGGAATACTTAAGTGCAAATACACAAAAACAAAATCAAAACAATATGTATATTTACAATATGTGGCAAGCAAACGTTTTAACAGAAATGCCCTGGAAACTACAAACAATGTAGGTTGAAGCAACCTGTATTTGGTTCTAAACTTTCTCTCAACCCAGACCCCATCAGGGTGAAAATCTCACATAAATCAATTTCACCCTAGATAATAATCAGAATGATTAAATAAACAAAGTACCTTACAAGTACAATTCATAATCTAAAGTTTTTACCCAGCTGCTAGAACTTGTGTAAATGATTGGACAAAGTTCACATCATTTACTGTTGAACTTCTTGAGATACGTACGTTTGAGTTTGGGATTGTCACATCACACCTCCTCCCATCTATGTGATGTCGATCTGCCAAACATTTGACTTGGCAGTCATACTCTGCAAATCGGATAAACCCAAATCCTTTGGAATACTGAGTTTTAGGGTCTCGTTTCACCTGCATCACAAATATATTTGTCATATAATTCAGATCATTATTATCAACTCTCAAAATCAAGCAAAATCTTTAATGATTTTTCCACAAAATTGCAGGAAGTAATCTGAATTCAGACACATGCCGCTATAAAATTCAAATACACAGATCAGGGTTTTCCATAATTTTGTTAGTGGTAGGCTGTGTAGTGAAAGTAGGAGGCTGGCCTACTGTACGTGTAGTCGTGTACAGAACATTATTACGGAACTGGATTGGTGTAGGTGGCCAAATGATCAAAGTAGCCGGTCAAATTGGCCGGCGACTGGCTCTTATGGAAAACCCTGCAAATTATTGCAATTTCAACGCATTTTTGTAATACATGATTTAACAATTCAATTCAGATCTTCATTTTTTGATTGCCCCTGACACATGAATCAACTCACATATTTGGAGGAAATGACTGCACTCAATATATGTACTTAATGTATATGTGTACCATACTGAGTCCTCTGACAATGAATGCAATATGCTTACACATTGTAAATTATTAAAAATCTTGCCTCAGTGATGTGAAATGAAATTTGTTTTCGTACATTTTACATGAATGATTATAAACACACTGACTAATAAATACACTCAAAAGTTTTACAGAATATTAAAGTCATATATAATGTACCTGAACAAGGAGGAGGTCTCCATATTTGGAAAAATACTCTCGAAGTTCTTTTTCATTTGTTTTCCACGGTAGTCCTAATACTATCAAGTCACTACATCGTTGTTTCTCTATACATTTTGTCTTGGCGATAGGGTTTTCAATAACTTCATCTCCTTTTCTTTTGTTATCTGTGATAAAAGAAATCAATATTAGGCATGTATCATGTTATTTTATTTGAAACAAGGAAATTTTATGGCTAACATTTTATAACATATACCCTTTCAAATAAATAATACACGGAAATTAAAAATAAACAACAAACACTTAAACCATCATTCGTTTTGTTTTTATCACAGAGTATGGTCATCAGGGCTCTCACACCCCATTTTGGGACTGGGGCCCAGGGCCCTTAGAATGGGGAAAAATAATGGTGTTTTCCTTAGAGTTGGGAAAACTTGGGGTCTAAATTGGGGAAAAAAAGGTACTGTTTTGCATTGGGAAAATCTAGCAGATTGAGAGCCCTGGTCATTAACAGTGGAGGATGTAGTCCTCTACTCTCCCTCTATCTTTTTCCTTTATCCTCTTTCACTTTCCTCATAGCAGTGGGACACTACCGATGACATTTTTTCTGTCTATATACTGTGTGTATATATATATATACGTGCATGCTTTCCATTTCAACCCCGCCTTAGCCATAGCAGACACTCAACCATGATCTGGTAGGGCTTCCTACACTATTTTGTGGTCAAAGGGAAACAACTGTTTAAAAATTTCCCCCTAAAATCTTTCATGGCACTTACTATTTTTAGGTAGTAACTTATCATCAGACAAACTTTATGTTGAATGACTGTCAAACAGAATTTTTGTTCATATTTTTTCCTTTAAATTGATTATAGAAATTATATCAAAATGTGGGTGCCGTGAGCCTAAATTCTGTATCCTGTCCTGATAGCCATAGCTTCATCCCTAAAACTTTCAGTCATTTATTTTTGCCGTAGTTCGGCTACAATCCCAATTTTTTCCGCCTACTATATCATTTTCGTCAATCAGTGTTCTTGTTGGCTGACTGCTAACATGGCAGCCATTTTACTTTGCATCAAAAATGCCTTAGCCACTTAGACTGAGGTCAAAGATCACGTGCATGAACCCAGTTGAGCAGATTTTAATATCCTACAAATCAAACAGACTATTGGTAGCTGATAGAAGACAACCAACAGAACAAAATTTTGAGAGATTAGAATTACCATGCAAGGAAAAACCACTGAATACAGTACAATATGCAAATTGGTCTATTAAAAGCCAATTGGGGTATGAATCTGTTCCGTAAAAAAAACGAAATAAATTCAAACCTATTTTTTTTCAAATTTTTTGGGGAAGTCGCATTTATTTAGTCACAAGACATTACACAACTTACTTGCCTGTGGGAAAGTACTGTAAACAGATGCAGTACTTTCGGTCTATATGGGCTATATTACAATAGCATTTACTACAGTGGTAACAGTTACATAAAGTTTTAAGCAGCTAGGACTTTCAGCAAACATATCTTTGTACAAAATTATTCACTTTGTCAAAAACATCTTTTATGATATATTGCAGTGAAGTTACCGTATTACAGAGAAGATACTGTTCAAACGATTTCGGCTATTTTTAGTAACAAATCTAAACCTCAAATGACAAATAATAGACCAGCTTGCGTATTATACACAAATCTGTAGTTTTCCCCGATCTGCTTATGGTCAGTTGAAGAGGAATGGAAAACCAATTACATTACCAAATCGGCCAAAAAAACATACTCTATCAGGGTCGTTGCAACCCTGGCAGTGAAATAAATATTTAGCATGAAGCAATTTCTCGCCACTTAAATATTTAGAAAATGCGCATGAATGTGAACAGAACAAAGCTAGAATAATAAAATAATAATTATAAACCAAGTGCAGGCGCCAGTGGCTACTAAGACAACCAGGTTGTCGAAATGTCTAGATAATAGTGGATTCACGTGTTCACCATGATCACTGCATCCGAGTACATGTGTGTCACTCATACGTGTCACTTTTGCCAGTTTCTTACAAACGACGCATTTCTACAACTCAATTTAGATATAAGCATATATGTACCTTTGGGAAAAACAACGACAAATACGTAATGTCCCCATGCCCCGTCGGGAGGGTGTAGTTTCCCATCAGATAATCGTATCCCCCGGAAGTTGCCGCTGACTGGGTTTCTGTACTTCATCCCACATGCTCCCGGGAACTGGGCAGCAAGTGTAGAGAGAAGAAGAGTTCCATCATCCTCACTTGGAATTTCTATCGGTTCTTCCCCTTCTTCTTCCGCTACCTGTATATATTGTCCGGACATATTCACTCAAACAAAATGGAAAATTACATACGAAATGTTGACCCAACAAGAAAGCGTGCAAGATGGCGGCGGAACAACATTGCACAAAGCGCCATCTACATCCTATAGCTAGTTTGGGGAAGTAATTCTAACTCACAGAGTATTTATCACAAGGTTCGCAAGTTTCCACACTTATTTGATGCAAACTATTATTTGTATGTTAACTATAACTGACACACATTGTTCCAATTTATAAGAGTTGAAACAAGTAAACAATATGTTATGATTCAAGCACCTAGGTAAAAGCGTAATAGCACAAAGAGAGATATGAAAAGATTTTTCTCTCCCTTTGTGACACAGGTAAGTTTGATTTTTCTTAGATTTAATTACTTAATTTATCTTATGGAAATGAAAAAAAAACACCAAAAATACAGATGAAATTAAGTTTGTTCGTGTTATTTACATTTGATTTTCCAAATGTATGTATTTATCCATTAAATCCAAATGCAAGCTCCAGGTATAACTGAAGTGGGTACTTGAATTGGGCCGAGATACAAATACAACATTACACTATTTTTTTTTCAAAAGATGTAGCCATCTATACCTAGGTTTAATTAATTTTATTTAAATCCAGACATAACTCAATTACAGGTACAAATTATGTGTTAAACCGTCGTTCCTTACCTATCATATATATATATATTGTGTCTGACACTTGATGACAAAACCTATCATTACCTGCGCGATTGTCATTGGTAGAACATGTTTGGTCAGAAACAGAATTTGGTTTGATGGTATGGTCACAAAAAATATAAAGCCCTAATAGCCTATATGGTTATTTAATGGTGTCGGAAACATGTTAGAATGTTAAAAGTTTATGGACGCACGACGCTGCACAAAAGGTGATCGCGATGATCCTCAGAAGTCTGTAGTCGCAATAATAAAAAAAAAAAAAAAAACAGTTCAGAACGAAAAGTTATAAATTAAGGAAGATAACTTATAAGTTACAAGTGACATTATAGAAAATAAAATGAAATACTCTGACAGTTTAAAATAACAAACTTCTGAAAGATCTTACATGTAAATAATTACCCTAGACTGGATATACTTATTTTCCTTTATATTCTCTGGTACAGCTGGTAGCCCCTGTTTTATCACAACTCTGTTAACAGTGATATACTAATTTTGCCTAATGATCACATTATCGGTTACAAACGCCATTTATGCACAAATATATTTAGACCATATTGCCACGTTTTAATTCTCTCGAATAGTGGCACGGTTCATGTATTTCACGCTATTCTTAAATCATCTGACGTATGAAAATCACGAAATTAATCTAATAACGGGGCAGCTACTTCCCAGTCTAGATTTTGACTTTTCTTCCGATAACATTGGATTTTCTTCAGTCGCCTCCTAGGTTCAAAATTTAGGCCCTTATCGTCACTAACGGGCCCTAGGACGGAACAGCTGTATGATGCAGTTTAATTCATTGTTTGTGTCTACTGTATCTCACTCTAAATTACGAAAAGGTGCTATTCACTTGTGTTTCATATCTACATTTTATTACATGATCATGCAAGCGATTTCATAATTCAAAGTTTCATAACTATTTAGTTACGTAGGTCAAGTTCCATCGACTTGCCAAAAGTGATTAACGTCTCTACTTCAGTAACATTAAGGCACGAGTGCCGACTTTAGGACCCCATATCCATTCAATTCTGTAACCATATTTTGGGTAACACTTATAGATATATATTGTACAACACAAATGGCTTGATAAATATATTGAAATTAAATGTCGTTAACTACCGGAATGTGATTAAATATTCATTAACTATGTTAAATTATTAGTTGGACCTTACTTTATTATAATCCATAGCACCTGTGTGGCAAAACCTTGAACCTTTGCATGGAACTCTGGACTTCACCATTTCTCCATCAAGAGCACCCTATATAGTTGAAATGCACCCATTTATTGGAATCTCACAATACTATGACGAAAACCAGTTTTTAAACACTCTTCTGCTAGATGGAGCTTTCTCCACACATTACAATGTGTAAACAAAGACCAACTGCCATGAGTGCTGTGCAACCGTGAAAGAACTACAAAACCAGAATATCTAGCTGAGGACAGAGATAGAGGAAATCAAGCAAGGACAAGGTATTTTCTTTTGTAAGGATCTTAAAAATGACCTATAGGCCTACGTGGCAAAATTAACGGGGTTATTGGAAACGCATTCTTAGCTCACCTGTTGAAAGGGAAAATGAGGTGATAACTAGGTCGGAGTCCGTCAGGTGGTCAACATTTCCACTATAGCAACATCTCTTCATTAACTATGAGATCAATGGTACCGATATTGGGCCTGTAAGATGATTGGATAAAGGGCTACTTAGTTGTTCAAATGGACGTGCTTGGCATGCTTTCATGGACACTGGAGTCAAATGTTTTAAGAACTTCAAGCTTCCTCTTAAAAAAGAAACATTGAAGTAATCATGAACTTCGGCGGAATCAGAAGACTGTTAACGTGTTTTTATTTTTAGCAGGACCCTCAAGGCACAACATGGCCGGCCAAACACATAATAGGACTAAGACCACAATTAAATACTTCCGGGGTCAGTACCCACGAATGAAGTCCCTAAAAAATGTATGTATATTTGGGAAAAAAATAATATGCCTCTTTGAATTGGATGTTTGCCTATAAATTTGCTGTAGATGTGTTATAGAGATGATAATCTAGCTGTCAGTGTGTAAATCATTCATATTGATCATGTATTTTGTGCTGCAGGATCCGGTGTAAAAAGTCCTGTTTTCACCTTTACCCCTGACCCGGATGTATATAATTGACGTTGGTGACACATATGGAGGTATATCTCCAGAAAATGCCCAACATGATGGGTTGAAACTTTTACATTTTGCTTCTCAGATGTTGATCTTGGCCAGGTGAAATGGAAATTTGCAGATGAAACTTTGGGACTTAGTTATGAATTTTAATGTTACAATGAAACATATAGTGAAATTAATTGTGGTCTTAGTCCTTAATGACATGCCTAAAAATCCATGTTTTTATTTCTCATACCCACATTTTTTGACCGATTCTCATACAAATTGGCATGGTTATTCTATATTTCATGACGGATTAGGTAGTGAAATAATTTTCAATTCATCACTTCGATTATAATTAAAATTTTAATTAAATTAAATTTTTAGAAAATTTTTAAACTTTATTTTCTGGAGTGATCAGGACATCTATAAATAACATCAAATTAGCATATTTGTGTTCTTGTGTATTCCTACGCCAGATTTTTAAAAGTTAAGATGGAGGATTTTTTTCAAATTATACAAGTACAAGATCTTAGAAAATTCTGTGGTTAGCCCAGATAATGGCTTGTGTAGGATTTGGATTGGACCTGTAACAAGGACAGGGAAATATGGAATTCTGTCATTTAAGGACCCCAGTGATTTAAAATGGAAAAAGAAACATGCACACAGACTTGCTTTTATTTGTTTTTCTGAAAATTTAGAATTGTCAAGTGATCTGGACTGTTCCCATCTCTGTCATAATAGTTTATGTTTAAATGTAGAGCACATAAGTTCAGAACCTCATTTTGTAAATAATAACAGGCAGTACTGTTTAAATTCAAATGTGTGTTATGGTCATTTAGGGTTCAGTGACTGCATGTTGAATTTGAAAATGTAATTGAGTTTTTATTGATTTGAGGGTATTAGCTATTGTACACTGATGTATACAACATTGTCCGACTACCACCACGTGGAGGTTCCCTCATTAGGTAGTCATATATTTTGTTGTTGTTGTTGCTGTTGTTGTTACATTATTTTGTGTTTTTTTTCTGATTGTTGACATGTCTCTAATAAATTTGTTGTCACCTCTTCTTCTCAATACAGGTGGTCCTGAGGTCGGTTGTCTCCCCTACATGGATGGATGTTGGGATCTAGCTGACCTCTCCTGTAGTCAGACTTCCGAGCGGACCTGGACCTTTTCGCATGCTGCTTGTGCTGTTCTGCTAACAACAACATACTTCTTTTCTTGACAGCAGGTTTGTATTGGTGGTGGCGTTGATATATTTCCTCTGAGCTGAGTTGATTAAGTTTATGTTTGACCTCCCTACTTGATTGAAGAAGCAGTTGTATTCAAACCTAATGACACAGTGATCAGGTGACATCATATCCTTTCCCTCTCAGCCAAGCTCCTGTCCAGCAAAGTTAGTTGTGGAGGGCACGTCCAAGTATCCACTTCTTAGGGGTAGATGTCTCGATACCCAGACTTAACCCCTGTGAGGCATTCATCCCTGGCTTCTTAGCACTTCCAAATGATGTGCTGTTGTACCGCCCATCCACAGCTAGTCCGATGGTACTCGGGGAATCATCTCCTCTCAGGGTGTTGGCCTCCACCACCAGTCTGGTCTTCTCGGACATGTCCTTTTTGTTGAGGGCAGTAATGTCCTTGGACACTTGATTTGCCTGTCGCTGCACTCCACTCTTGGCTCCTGCAGGTATATTCAGGTGTCCGAGAAGTAACGTGGCTCCTTTGGTGCTGACAGCCTGGCCACACAAAGCTGAAGGCAGGTACTTGTTGACAAGGGCTGGCTTTGGTCCGGGCTTATCCGTGTCTGCCTCTCTATGTAGTTTGTACAGTGGAGATCTGTTCTGGCATTTATTACATCGGACAGCACAACTCCATCCCAGAGCCCTTTTCCGCTCGGTGTCCAGTTCAAACTCTGGTACCATGCATGATGTAGTGTTTGGTTGTCCGGCGTGAAGTCTGATGATGGTGTTCCACATTTTCACCATCAACACTATGTCGATGATCCGGTTTCCTTCTATTACAGGCTCAGAGTTGGATTCTTCAGCTGTAACAGTTGCCGGCCGTAGTATCCATGTTGGATAAGGTCTGTCTCCAGTATCTGTTGTTACCAGGGAAAGGCCGTCAGGACTGGGCTTGGTGATCAGCTGAAATTCCTGGGTGGTCAGTCTTCTGGTCAGAGCTGGTCTCTCTTCTCTGGTGACAGGTACCTCAGGATCTTCAACTTTAAATAACTGGCCCTTATTCTTTGGAACATT